CATGTGTTTCTCTTTTGGCCAACACCATAAATAGATGAATTGATGAAATAGCAGACGATATTGAGGCACAATTGTTAGAGAGGATCAATGATTCACTGTGGTACGCAATCCAGGTTGATGAGTTTATCAATGTTGACAACAAGGCAACAATGCTTGTTTTTGTGCCATATATCATATATTTTTCAGAAGGATGTGCATGAGGATGTATTATGTGCACTTTCATTGCCAACCAACACCACAGCTGCAGAATTACACAAGTCTTTGAATGATCAGGTATCAGGAAAACTGAAATTGGTTATTTTGTGTCAGTGTATGGATGGATGGAGCGGCTGCCAAGACTGGACAGCTTTCTGGTTTTACTAGTTGGGTCAAGGAATCACTTCTGAATGTGAGTCTATGCACTGTGTCATCCATAGAGAAATGCTGGCTAGCCAAAAAATGTCACCTGAACTAAACACTTTACAGGATGTGATTATCAACCACATTAATGTATATGCCCTGTACATGCCCTTAACTCACATCTGTTCGTGCAGCTGAGGAGACAGACACACGTGGACACAGTGCATAGATCTTCTCTTATACACAGAGTGAGATGGCTTTCTAAAGGTAGATCACTTGCCAGTTTTTGAGTTATGAGAGCCACTCCAGAGATTTCTTTTAGAAAAATAGTCACCACTGGCAGTATATTTCAGTAAAACAGAATGGGTTGCAAAACTTGCTTGTGTGACATATTCAACCTGTTCAATGAACTCAATCTTTCAATTCAGGGAGAATGACAGCTGTGTTCAAATCAGCAGATAAAGTGGCTGCATTCAAATCCAATCTGGAATTATGGGGGTGATGAGTGAACACTGAGATCTTTTTAGATGTTTCAAACATTAGCAGAGATTTTGAAAGAGACTAAGCCAGGCAGTGCCTTCTTTCTACCAGCTGGTGCATGATCACCTATGTCAGCTTTCAGAAGAAGTTTGAGCATTACTTTCCAACCACAAAACACCTGTGAACTGGGAAAGAATGGATTCGAGACCCATTTGTGAGGATGACTGCTTGGGATAACAAATAACAGTGGTCTTAAAAATATGTATGTTTGAGACAACTTCAAATCTTTATCCGTTCTGGATTAAAGTCAAGGCCGAATATCCTGAGACTGCCACAAAAGCACTGAAAAACCTGCTTTCATTTCCAACATCTTATCTTTGGTGAAGCAGGGTTTTTTGCAGTGACAGCAACTAAAATGAGATTATGGAGTAGACAGGACATAAGGAACACACTTCGGGTGTCACTGTCTCCCATCACCTCCAGATGGGACTGCCTAGTGGCAGGAAAACAAGCTCAGGGCTCCCACCGATTCTGCATTATGGTCAGTTGTATAATTATTTATGTATTATAATAATAGAAATAAAGTGCACAATAAATGTAATGTGCTTGAATCATCCTGAAACCACCCCCCCTCCCCAGCCCACCACGACCGCCTGGTCTGTGGAAAAATTATCTTCCATGAAACTAGACCCTGGTGCCAAAAAGGCTGGGGACTGCTGCGACAACTGCCTGCACAAATCTGCTTTCAATATAACTAAGTTCAAAGCAATGTATTAGTGGAAACTAATATTAACATAAATTTAGAACTCACACACAAACCACACCAAAAAACCCCAAACTCTCAATCTCCCTTCCCTAATTATCCTCTTAGGAGATATGTAATTGGCATGTATCTATAAAGATACTACCTTTAGAGGAGGGACTAATGCTAAGAAGCATTACCAAGATAGATTGGCACCTACTATATCTTCCTTAAATATATCACACTGACTACTGGAGCTTTATTAAAATTGCCCCCCTTATTCAGTGAATATTCAAGGTACAAATTCATTTATTCAACAAAGGATAAAAGGATCTATGTATTGTATAGGTAACATACAAATACACACTAAATATTCACATTCCACTTCATATTAAAGATATCCTTCTGCTTGATAACCAATTTTCATATTGGCTTAATAAAACAAAAAGAATGACTACTATAAGCATCAAATATAATGGAAGACAGCCTTTCTGCTTTACCTGTTAAAACAACAGTCCCCAACCTCTTTGGCACCAGTGACTGGTGTCATGGAAAACAATATTTCCATGGGACAGTGGGCAGATGGGGAAAGGTTAGGAATGATTCAATCACATTACATTTATTGTGCACTTTATTTCTATTATTACATTGTCAATTGTCACTCACTGATAGGGTTTTGAAATGAGTCTGCAAGCAATTGATTTATTGTGGTCTCTGTGCAGTCAAACCTCTATTTGTATTTGCAGCCGCTCCCCAGTGCTAGCATCACCGCCTCAGATCATTAGGCATTACATTCTCACAGGGAGCATGAACCCTACTGTAAACTCTGCATGGGAGGGATCTAGGCTGCATGCTCCTTTATGAGTATCTTATGCCTGACAATCTGAGGTGGAGCTGAGGCAGTGATGATAGTGCTGGGGAGTGGCTGCAAATACAGATAAAGCTTCGCTGGCTCACCTGCCACTCAGGCCACACACTGGTACCAGTCTGCCGCCTGAGGTTTGGGGACCATAGTGTTGAAATATACACAGAAATTTAAAAGTAAAATTAAAAACTTTCCTTTCTTAGTCTTCTTGGGCGATATAGCCATACATATGGGCACAAGCTTGAAACCCGAGGGTAGGGCATTTAAGACAAAAAACCTGAGCTGTTCTTTGTGTGACAGAAATAGGAAAAAACTAGTAATGATCAAGCACAAACTGATGACTTCCTTACATTTTCCTTTCTAACATCTATCTTCATTGCCTAGTTAAGGTTCAAAGTTTTGAAAGGACAGGGATATTTTTAATATCTTAACAGTTACCTTAAAGTAATACTTCCATTTGTTTTTTTTAATAGAACAGGGTCTTGCTATGTTACCAGACTGGTCTTGAACTTTTGGCCTCAAGCTTCCTCCTGCCTCAGCATCCCCAAATGGTGGGATTACAGGCATGAGCCATTATGCCTGGTTACTTCCTCCCAATGTTTACCTTTGACTACTGTTTGTGGTAGTTACTACTGGAAGCACCCTGTGCAGTATCTACCAATAATAAACCTTTTGAAACCAGGCTATTGGCAGGTCCAATCAGAATTCCCAAGAATCACATCTCTGGCTTATTTATGAATAAGATGTGAGATTTTTTTTTTTCTAACTACAAAAAAGGAAGCATAGGCAGGAGAAAAGTAGTGAAGGATCATATTATGAACACTCCAGAGGTTCTAAAAGTGGTTTCTGTTCTCAAGAAGAGTATTAAACTCAGGGATCTTGTGAAACCAATCAATATTTCTCCAGGCATCTGAGCAGGTTCTAAATCCTTTATAAAAAAGAAAAGCTTCAGTTTAATCTATTAACCAATATTTTCTGCAGTAGCCTAATGGTTTTCTTTGATCCACAGTATTTGGGAAACTTTGCTATCTACATATCTGACTTTTTCAGCAAAGGTACTAATTGTGCATACTGGAAAACAAAAATCAGAATCATTCATCATAATAGCCAATGAAATCTCAGATTAACACCAGGAATGTGTTCCAAGAAATGCATCTTAGCCAATTTTGCTGTTGTGAGAACATTGTAGTGTACTTAGACTAACCTAGATGGTATAGCCTACTCCATACCTGGACTACATATTGAGAGAGGAAATGAAGAATGGTCTTTCAGAGATGAGGAAACTAAAGCAGAGAGGTGAAGTATATTAATTTGTTCAAGACCAAAGAACAGCAGATTTTAATTAACCCAGGCAATTTGGCTGGAGTGGTTAGCAGGTATGCTATTACAGAATAGGATAAACTGTAATGCATTAATATTTACTAGGTAAGATGGGTCTAAGATAACTGGTGAGAAATTATATATATTGATTTTCATTAAAAACAACAGTATTAAAATGTATAAAGTATAAGTAGAGATAAAGAAATGTACATTCAACTAAACTACTTTGGATTTGAGGGGGGAAGAGACCAATGATGTAGCTTTACTTTGTTAGCATTTAAGTTGTTACAAGCAGCATATTTTTCTTATATAATTAGACATGAGAGGGTGGAAATGAAGAGAAAACAGGTTTTTTCCTTCAGTTGCAAGTCAAGGATTCAGGAATTCAAGAACCTGAAAGAACTGTTTGGCTCAATCTTTCCATAATACACCTATGGTATACAGGAGTGACAGAAAAGGAGGAAGGAAAGCAGAGACAGAATGTTAGATGCTATACTTTTTGTTGGTTTTGAAGATGGAAGGGGCCAGGAGCCAAAGAATGCAGACCACCTCTAGAAATGGAAAAAGACAAGAAAATGGATTCTGCCATCAAAGCCTCCAGAAGGAACCACCCTGCTGATTCCTTCACTTTAGCCCCATGAGACTGACTTTGCATTTCTGACCTCCAGAACTGGTAGGAAAATAAATTTGTGTTAAGTCATTAAATTTGTGGTAGTTTGTTACAGCATCAACAGGAAATTAATGTAACACCTGAGAGATAACAAAAGTAATATACGGACAACACTGCTTCCAGAAATACCCTTACTAAATTTAATATAGGACAATCAACTGCTGACTGATATAAAGTTCTGTATCATCTGTTAACCCACTGTTGAGCAGTGGTAGGTCCATAACGGGATACTTAATAAAGAGCACAGGTTATCATTTCCCTTTTGCTGTATGGATTACAGAAATCAGTAGAAATGTTTCTATCAATAGAATCTGCCCTACCAGAATACCTAATTTTACTTAATTGAGGTAAATTTCTCCTAGGGATCAAATGAAACTAATTTTTATCTCCCCACTAGAAATATTCCTGTGGCAATACATACTCTAAGTTTAAAATTCATAGGCTAAAAGGATCTAGGCTATTTACTCTAATGCCTTACTGGTATCATCCAATTTATAAATAAGAAGATAATTCAATAAAGTGCATATGTGGGGGCATTCCTAGTCCCACCATAAAGGCAATCGGATAAAGAAAAAAGTCTAATCGCATAAAGGAATATAAAACTATTTATTGACCACTGTTCACCAGTATTTACAATAAAGTAAACAATATACAGTTGGATAACATTCTGATTACTACAAGGCTGTTTTCCTGGCTTCTGCAGAACCAGTAACCCAAATACTGAAAAGATTGAGCCTACATGTAAGAAATGAGTTGGGGTAAGGAAAAAACATGCAGTCAATAGATTACAAAAAGTTTGTTTACCCATTATGTCAGCACATCTGAAACTGCCAACATTTCTAACCATCTGATTAAGTTTCCATGAGCCAAGCCTCAGATATTCCATTAATCATGAACTTTTATTCAATGCAGCATAGGGATTTCAAGTTCTTGTAAAACAATTGCTCACTAGGGGAATCTTTAATGTGCATTTAACTAAAGTCTTGTTTACAGTATTAGAACACACCAGAATTTATCTAGTTTCCTCATCTGGGTGGGGAGATTGTTGGTAGCGATAAAGCTTTTCCTTTTAGGAATTTTGCAAACACAATGTTGCATTTATATGAATAAACATGCAGCTATGTCTTCGGATATGGCTGCCTTTAAATTATCCAATTAATTACGAACCGACTATTCAGTTTGAAATGTTATGGCTTCAGGAAAATTTTCAATTCTTAGGTTGCTCAAAATGATAGCATCGCAGACACATGGGCTTACCCGTGATTTTTGTTTTGGTGAATGTTTAAAAACAATCATTTACATATGCATTTTACGTATACACACACAAAAACAAATTAAAAAAACCCAGAATGGTCCTTAGGCATGAGTTAAACACAAGCTCTGATTGAATAATGGGTATGGAAATTTCCCCTAGCATTTAGAAAAGCTGTTCCGTAGCGCAGAGGAAGTAATATACCATGGTATCATATGTTCTTTTCTGATAAAGGAAGCAACTACAGAAAGCTTTTATTTGTTCAAAGTAACCAGTGCTATTGATGCAACCCCCCCCCAACAACTCTCTCAATACTACTTTCAAAACAAATGTATCAAACTTGATTTATTAGATGTAGTTATTTCTTCACACTAGTAAATCAAAAACCAAGACCCAGATTTTATATATATATATAAATATATATAAAAAGCAATGCAAACAATTATTGAGCTTCATCTTCTGGACAAGAATGCCAAGTTAGTCTCTCTTCATAAAAAGCAATTACAATTTGAGGACACTTCATATTTGCCTCTTTTGCCAGCACCAAATCTGCCTCATCTGAATCTTTCCTGTTGTGAGGGGAAAAAAATCCAGTTAAAAATCTAAATTGCTATGTCAACGGACAAGCATTCATTTAAGAATAATCCAATCATAAGGTATTTAAATGTTTTTGGGGGTTTTATGTTAGTTGTAGCTATGTTTCAATAAACTTAATTTTCCAAAGCAGGCCATAATTTGTGAACACTTGTGTCATAAACTAAAGTAACCAGAATCATCCTTTCAGCAGATAACTACTTTCTACTTAATGATGGAAACTACTTATAAAACCTTTCCTAGATAAATTTATAAATATGTCTAATCTTTAAAATATAACACCTGCATACTTACCATTTCATAAGAAACATTAATTCTCCACTGCTATCTGTGGCACCAATTATTCTTTCAGGATCAAGACCTCTGGCAAAGCCCCTTGGTTTGTCAGCCTATTTAGGAGAGCTTGAGTGATTATTTACATACATGTTTCCATACAGCAAACTAAGAATATTAACTTCAAATTTAGTTTCATGATATAGAGCTTTTAAACAAACAGCTTCCAAAAGTGACACAAATGAGTAGAGCCAAGAGCCCATATTTGGTATTAAAATACATAGTAATTTCTATTAACTTTAAAAGCAGAAAAAACAAATCTGGGTATCTGATACCCAATGTAGAATACTTAAAAACATTCTGAATCAAAAGTCAAGAAAACAGACAAATACTTTATCTAAAAGACATTAAGGGTGGACTGAGTGGGCATATAAGAAAAAATAAATTCCTTTATTTCTGGTATTGGTAACTAATAATTATAAACTCTTGAAAGTTAGTATTTCAAATATATTCTGGGAATTAGTCTAAATTATCTACCTATTTTAAAAGCATAAACAAAATACAAATAGTAAAAATTGTAAAACTCAGACTAACTAGTATTGCAATGGTATGAATTACAACAAACCTTATAAAGTACTTAGTATAAACCAGTGGTTCTCAAAGTGAAGTGTAAGAACACCTGGGCGTCCCTGAGACTTTTTTGGGAGGGGGTTCTGCAAGGTTCCCTCTTTTTATGTATTCATGACTTGGATGGTCTTCATATACCTCCACCAAAACCACATACTACAACAATCAAATGTGTAAAGTAGAGCTGTCTTTTGTTAAGCCAGACCTTGAAGATGTCTGTAAAGATATAAAATGCCACTCATCTCAACTTTCCTCTTGCCTCAGCCTCCCAAGTAGCTAAGACTACAGGCACATGCCACCACACTTGGCTAATTTTTAAATTTTTTGTGGAGATGAAGGTCTTGCTATCAATATAGACCAGACTGGTCTCAAACTCCGGGCCTCAAGCAATCCTCCCACCTTCACGTCCCAAAGTGTTAGGATTACAGGTATGAGCTACTGTACTTGGCCTAAAATTTGTTTATAAATATAAAGGAATAGAATAATGGCTCTATCCCCCTTTATAGACTGTGTGGTTTTGAGTAAGTTAACCTCTTTGCAGTTCGGGTTCATTTACAATAAAACAAAAATAATTTATAGTCTCTATCTCATAGATATTTCATAGTATATAAAATATAAATTACTTAGAATACTGGTTGGCACATGGTAAGGATTCAATCAATACATGTGCTAGGTATTGTCATTAAAGTTGTGCTTCTGTTGGGCATGTCATTTCATTTCAGAACCAAATTAGCAGCCAACTCTTGTTTTCTCACCTGTAAAACAGGATCATACCCATTACCTTAACAGAGTTGCCACAAAGATTTCAGACTACCTGCAAAGTTCCTGACATCTGATTCAAATGATCAAATTTCAAATCCAAAGTTCTTACCAATTAATCTGCATCGTATGCTTAGTGCCTGAGCCTAGAAACCGATTCAGCACTAAGGCCTTTCCTAAAATTGCTATACTAGGCTACTAGCAGGGCAAATATAATTACACCTAAGGATGGAAGAAGTTACCCGACTTGCCCGAAGCTACAGAAACATTAGTGAAGCAAAGACTGGACCAAAGTACATGTGCAATGAATGAATCAAATGGCTCAATTCATGTCAATAAAACATACAGCACTAAGAAAAAAAATTAGCCAGGTGGAACGATGCACACCTGTAGCCCCAACTACTTGGGACGCTGAGGCAGGAGGACTGCCTGAGCCCAGGAATTCAAGGTTATAGTGAGCTACAACTGGGCCACTGTACCCTAGCCTAGGCAACAGTGTAAAACCCTGTCTCAACAAAAACCAAATCAAAAAATGTGTAACAATTTTTATTATTAAAGATTATATATTATTTCAAAATCAAAGTACTATTTGCCAATACAGAGATCGCAAGCAAAACTACTTTCTGGTGGTCAATGCCATTAATGAACTACAATCAGATGTACCATTTGGACTATTTTCACTGTAAAGTCTTTCAACAATCCAATCAGTACTGTTTGTACTTAAGATTGTTAGCCTTGGATCATAGGTAATTGGTTTGATTAGGGATCAAATCCAAGAAACTATTAATAACAACACTAGCACATTTTAAGTGGTATAAGCACAGTGTAGGCTAAATCATATACATCCTTTTTGTCCTACACATTAAGCATTTATAAAAGGTTTCTTCATGGCATTTAAAAAATATCTTAAAAGTACTTAAAAATTAGCCCAGGTGTGGTGGCTCACCCCTTTAATCCTAGGACCCTGGGAGGCTGAGGTGGGAGGATTGCTCAAGGTCGAGTTAGAAACCAGCCTGAGCAAGACCTTTGCTCCTTGATACTGGGAAAGGTGTCTCTACTAAAAATAGAAAGAAAATTAATTGGCCAACTAAAATACATAGAAAAAAAATTAGCTAGGCATGGCACATGCCTGTAGTCCCAGCTACTAGGAAGGCTGAGGGAGAAGGATCCCTTGAGCTCAGGAGTTTGAGGTTGCTGTGAGTTAGGCTGATACCACGGCACTCTAGCCCAGGCAACAGATCTGTCTCCAAAAAAAAAAAAAAAAAAAAAAAACAAAACAACAACAAAAAACTTAAAAATCAAACCATCAACCTTTTACAAAAAGATATTCTGGTGCACAATGTTTTATACTTACAGCATCTCTTTTCTTCTTTGATTTGCTATCATCAGATTCACTGTCAGATAAAGACTTTCTTTTTGTACCATCTTTTTCTTTACCAGCTTTTTGAGAATTAAGAAATGCTTCAATTAACTCTGGACAATCCAAATTTTCTTCAGGTTCCCAAGTATTGTCAGCACTGTGTCCAGGAACAAAAAAAAAAAAAAAGAAAAGTTGATTCAATTAAACACAGTTCATCACCATTATCTGGATCCATTTAACAGATATCTGAAAAAAATGTCCTCTCTACTGCAGATACTAATCATTTCTTCCATTTCCTCTCTATTGTTTTGAGAATCTGTCTAGATTTCCTTTTGTGTCTGCTTTCACAGCCCCAACTAAGCGGGCAATCTGCTATTTTTACCTCCAAATTAAATGAGCCTCACTCCAACACTGTAATTGAAGCTAATATTTCTCCAAGTCTCACAATTACTTCAGAATTTTCCTCAAAGAGCTTTTAAAAAAATGCAGATTCCTAATTCCCAACTTGAAGTACTATATCATATCATGGCTAGGGTTGGGACCTCCACTACGGTACTTTAAAACAATGATTGAGGCATTCTTTTTTTTTTTTTTGATACAGAGTCTCGCTTAGTTGTCCAGGCTAGAGTGAGTGCCGTGGCGTCAGCCTAGCTCATAGCAACCTCAAACTCCTGGGCTCGAGCAATCCTTCTGCCTCAGCCTCCCGAGTAGCTGGGACTACAGGCATGCGCCACCATGCCCAGCTATTTTTCTATATATATAGTTGTTTGATTAATTTCTTTCTATTTATAGTAGAGACAGGGTCTCGCTCTTGCTCAGGCTGGTTTTGAACTCCTGACCTTGAGCAATCCGCCTGCCTCGGCCTCCCAGAGAGCTAGGATTACAGGCGTGAGCCACCGCGCCCGGCCCAGAGGCATTCTTAAATGTTAGATGATTTTAGTTTTTGCTGGGTGCTCAAACTGGGAAATGATATAAAGCAGGAGTTGGCAAAGCAGAAGCCAAATACAGCATTTTTATGGCCTACAAACTAAAAATGTTTTCTTTCGTTTTTAAATGATTAGAAAAATATTTCAAAATAAAATTAGAATTTCAGAGCCCACACAACATTACTGGAACACATTCATGCTCATTTAACATATTATCTATTTCTGCTTTTGCACTTCATATGCAGAGATGTTGTAGAGACACAGACCTATAGCCCACAAAGCCTAAATAGTTACTCTATGGCACTTTGGGGAAAAAAGATTTCTGACTCCTGATATAAGGCTGAGATGACCATTTCCATGTACTTTTCAGAAAGGCTGTAAAGAAAATTAGTATCAATCAACAAATGTGAAAGTAAGATCATCCTACACAGCAACTGTCTTGCTAATTTTTTGTGCTCTGGTCCAAAGAGACTTTATAGAACTAGATGAAATGAAATTAATCATTTTAGAGATACTGGGAAAGGTGCTATTAACCTCTGTTACTTACTTAACAACTTCGTTGGCCGGTGTGGTGGCTCATGCCTGTAATCCTAGCACTCTGGGAGGCCAAGGTGGTGGCTGGATCGCTCAAGGTCAGGAGTTCAAAACCAGCCTGAGCAAGAGCGAGATCCCATCTCTACTAAAAAAAATAGCAAGAAATTGGCCAACTAAAAAAAAAAATATATATAAAAAAATTAGCCAGGCATGGTGGTGCATGCCTGTAGTCCCAGCTACTCGGGAGGCTGAGGCAGGAGGATTGCTTGAGCCCAGGAGTTAGTTAGAGGTTGCTGTGAACTAGGCTGATGCCATGGCACTCTAGCCCAGACAACACAGCAAGACTCTGTCTCAAAAAAACAAACAAACAAAAAACCACCAAAAAACAACTTGGTCTGCTGATATTCTGAGATTCCAAAATTGGCAAACCTAAATTATTGGGTGGAGGATGACTTAAGAGTCTCTATCCTGTATTATATTCGTTAGTCTTCTACATTACCTAATACATTATACTGCACAGGGCAAGTTCTCAATCATACTAGCGGCCTTAAGTTTTGGAAGAAGAGTCTATTTTCTAATGTTTTGATGGGGAGAACATAAAAGGCAAATAGGGATTTTTTTTTTTAACAAGTTAACCATTTGAAGGTAATTAACTCTGGCAAACTAGTTAAATCTAATTCTAAAATAGTCCATAGACTTATTTTGCTTCATTCTGATATCTGCCGGAAATTTTTTAGTGCTAAATTATGCACTTATTATATATACTTAGGCTTAACTACCAATACTGAAGGATAAAATAGGTAAAAATAAATCTTCCATTGAATTCCTAATCCCCAAATTGCTATGAAGGTGGCTTTATTTGTGAACAGTGGAGGAAGCTGTAGATAATAGACATTTGAAGCCTCATCCCTGGACTACCATATGGCCCATGCTCAGGAGACTATTGATGTCAACCTATCCATTTTTAATTGTCACTGCCCATGGAGCTTTGGCTTTCTGTTTTTGTGGTGTCAGGTAGAAGGATCCAAGTAGATTTGCACAATAAACACAGATGTTAAGAGTACATAATTTCTCTCTGTTTAAGTCATTCAAAACACAGCTAACATAAAGAATAATTATGAAAACAATTTGTAAAGAGGAACACAAGGAACCAGTGAGCCTGAAAAATGCCCAGGCTTTATTTTTTAGAGATTAGGATACAATAAACCTAGTATAAGACCTAGATTACGATGAGTATTTCTTTTTAAGACCCACTAGTCTATATCGTACAGCTTCAATGTCGTCCAGCATCCTCTGTATGGAGTGAAACAATGTCGACTAGAAATTCCAGTATAGTATCCAACTACGTTAAAATATCTCATATAGTAAACTACAACTGACAATTTTACAAATTTGACTCCCCAGGGTAATAAATTGGCCTCTGATTTGCTTGGTTTCAACTGTAGACAAAAGATTTGGCTCTTTTGAAACTGACTTCAAATAAGATATCTTAAAATTAAAAATGTTTTTAAAGAGATCTCTGGGAAAAAGAGGCTAAAAACAAATTTTTAAGCCACTTCACTGCAGCTAAACATGATAAACAAGCACTGAGGTTTCTTACTCTGTAAATCCCTTCCACTTCAGGAAATACTCCACTTTCCCATTTACTACACGTCGATCCAGTACTTTTTCCACCACAAATTCTTCAGGCTCTGCCTCTTCAACCTTTTTACTCTTCCCATTCTGTTTCTTTCCCATTTTTTGCTAAAATAAAACAAAAAGGAACTTAAGAAACACATTCCTATTGAATTTTGAGCACATTTTAAAGACTAAATTGCTTATATTGCTATATTTGGCACAAATTTTTACTTCTGTATCCTAGGACAGACATCTTCTGAAAAGATAAAAAGCCCATGGACAATAAAGGAATGTGCTTTATTCCGTTGACTTAATTCAAACTTATTACCCACCACTCTTCACCAAAATGATATAATCAAAAACATTAACTGGAAAATAATTATCTTTTCTGAGTCCCATCTCTAAGTAATCTATAAGACTAAGTTTACTAGAGCTTTCACTATTTCAACCACAACACAGCAACAAACGACTACATATAAAGTGTCAGAGGACAATATAGAAAAGAATAAGTAGTATTTACAGACTTGTTGAAACTGTACCCAGATAGTAAGATCCTCTCTCAATTCAAACATTAATGTTAAAAGCCTCAATGCTATAGAAAAAAGTTAAGTATAGAATGAAAACATGGTTTAGGATTCTGATATCAATTGCAGGGTCAATCATGGAGACCACGAGGAGGTTAAAAAGGACAAAATTATTTTTTCATAATCCTAATAATGCTATCACTTAAAGAGGCCAAAATGTCAGATGTATTTTAATTCCTTAATGTATAAAAAAAATCCTTCTTTCCTGCTTTCTCAAGAGAAAGAGTCTAAATTGGTAACCAATATAATTCATTTCAAAGAAGTGTTTGCTCTTTCACTGTGTTGTCAGGGCTAGAGTGCCGTAGCATCAGCCTAGCTCACAGCAACCTCCAACTCCTGGGCTCAAGCGATCCTCCTGCCTCAGCCTCCCAAGTAGCTGGGACTACAGGCATGCGTCACCATGCCAGGCTAATTTTTTTTCTATTTTTAGTTGTTTGGCTAATTTCTATTTATAGTAGAGATGGGGTCTTGCTCTTGCTCAGGCTGGTCTCCAACTCCTGAGCTCAAGCAATCCTCCCGCCTTGTCCTCCCAGAGTGCTAGGATTACAGGTGTGAGCCACAGCACCTCGCCTAGTATAATGCTATTTAAGAGAAGCAGGAGACCAACCTCAACCAGCTATTTCTAGTAGCTCAAACAGATTCATTCCAGGAGGGCTGAAAATAGGTAAATTTTTAAAAACCTGAAATGGCTAATTAAAAGGTATTAAGAGTGGAAAAATCCCTAATGTAATGTGCGCTTTAAAATACTTTTATCTTAAAACAGTGCTGTTAAAAAATAAAACTCAATTGCCTAGTCATGAAAGCTACTCCACAGCATGCAAGCAGAAGAAATAACAGCAACATCAAGACTGCAAAAGGATATTTCAAACCATGAAAGCACATAGATGTACATACACACATGAGAAATAAAAATTCCCTGGAATTTTAAAAAATGCAGCAATCATTTGATTTTGTTGGATACCATTTCCAAGTTAGGCGTTACTATTCTAAGTCAAAATACTTTAGTACTAAGCCTAGTCAAATAGGTTTTTCTGCCTCTTGAAGGTAAGAATGAGTGAGAAGAACAAAGAGAAATTAGAATAGACAAAATTTATTAGATACCAATCCTAAATAAAAAAACAGCTAGTGTCCACAAAGGAAGGAGGCTAACAAAATAAACAGGATGTCAAAAATGAAAAGGATACACACTAAGATAAACTTTTGAAGTGGTTAATCTGTGATCCTTTTCAATACAAGAAAATACAAATACCAATAAATAACAGACACCAAAGACTACCAATTCGCCTGAAAAAAGCCAGTTTAATTTTAATGGGAGCATTTGTTTGCCTTCTGTATCTATATTCATCCTCAAAGCCTCATGGACAGCTAATTCCTCTCCCATCTAACACTTGGAGGAGGATACGGGTAACTGTAAAGTCAACTATCTACATTTTGGTTTAATGATTATGGAATCCGAAGGTCAGCTCAATCCTGAGACATAAAAGACACTTTTGTTTTCCCATTGATGGCTTTGACCTATACATACAGTATACGGGAATCATCTGTACCACAGACTCACCAGACAGGCTTTACATTTCATATCACAATCATTTTCCAAGGCACTCGACTTAATGTAAATCTAATGATGGCTCAAATTAAAAATCATCAACTTGCCCCTTTTCAGTGTGAAACCTAAAGGGAGAATATACAGACCCAAACCAAATACTCTGCTTTACTTAGATGTTAACACTCACCTTTATGTGCTTAAGATTAACACAATGTGTTAGAATTAAATATTGTGGGAACCATACTGCAAATTCTGTATTTTTATATGAATATTCCATTGTTCTTTAAGTTTATAACTTGATATGGCTTAATATACATGTCTTTACACATTTGTATAACTTGTTAGGAAGCCTAAGAATGCAAACTTTGGGTTTAAGAAACCACTGTAGAGAAAAAAATTAGTCACTCAAAAGATGCAGAAAAATCTAGCCTTCTCTCTTCCTGATATTTGTGATTTTGTTCACCTTGTGGTTAAAAAACAAAAGAATGATGTTTTAAATTTAAGATTCTTCTGTATTTGAGTAAGCAAGTTTAAAGCAGGACAAAGTGACCAAGTAATTTGAAAGATTCAATAACTTTTGCTCCACTCTAGTGTGTACAACGTACCTATTCTCTAAACTGGGCATTACTGAAAATATTTGACTTCACTAGAACTCAGTAGATTCAAGGAATATTATGCCAACCAACAAGGACCTTACAACTTTGTTTATGTAACATTCTTTTCCTGTTACATAAATTTGTGCATTTTTATTTGAAGATAAAAATACTCAGCAAAATCCAGACTGTGCTGTCCTAAGATTAGGTTTAAGACACTGTTAAGCCAAGTCGGTAAGTATCTCAATGTAACGTTTTCATTGTTGTCCTTAATTTTGCGCCCACATAATACAGGGAGAGCTAAAAAAAAAAAAAAAAAAAAGTACAGAAATTTTTCAACCACAGAGATGCAAAGTTATAATTTTTTGGGAAAAAAACTTGAGTTAAATCCTTATATATTTTAGGTTTTCATTAACTTACCAATGTAGTTTTATTGGAGGCCATTTTTTATTGCAGACTTGAAGAGCTATTACTAGAAAAATGCATGACAGTTAAAAAGAAGTTTGCATGACACAAAAAAGGTAGCTAAACACAAGTTTTGTTTGGATTCCAACCCCCAGGTAGATAGTGCACTTTCCAAACGTCTATATACTAATCTGGAAAAGCAAATGTGAGCTCCTGCCTAAACTATTACTGACAGGCTATGCCTAAGTACGTATAAGGGTGATTTTAACCAAGTGAGTCTAGAAAACCTCACTGGAGACCCTGGTACCTGAGACAGCTTTACATGGTTAAAAATACTGGACGAATATTTTTTTCCTGTCTAAATCTCACTTATAATAAATTCAATTTCTTTAAAAAGGACAAACTTTTTGATTCATAATCACACACAATTACCCAAACAACTCACAACGGTAAACATGAATTTTTTTCTCTATTATCTCTGAACGTTCAAAGAGGCTCCTATAGGATCCTAACTAGATCTCTTTTCAGAAACCTTCTATCTTTCCAATCAGTAACTAAAGCAAAAAACACACCGAGATGCTCCAGCCCCATTTCGTGACCCTTAAAATGCATCATCTCTTATATACATCCGCTCTGCCTAAGCCCCAGGCCTGTCTTGCCTTAATCCTGCGGCCTAAGCGCCCGCCCCCCACCCGGGAGCGCGGGCCTCGTGGTCAGCGCATCCGCTGGGAGAAACAAAGGCCGCGGCGCGGGGGCTCAAGGGCACTGCGCCACACGGCCCGCGCCAAGCCCCGGCGGCGGCCACGTAACGGAGCGCCAGCCGCAGCCCGGGGACAGCGGGCCGCGCGCGCCGCCAGGCCTCGCGGCTGCGGGAATGCAGCGCCCTTCCCCGAGGCCCAACTCTCCGATCCACCACGCGTGGAGGATGGCCCCTCATCTTGCACGGGGATGGGGGAGGGGGGAGGGAAATGCGCTTTGTCTAGAAATAAAGCGGCTGTCGCCACGGCTCTCCACCCTCTCGAGGACAGAGCCGTCCGCCCAACTAGCTAAAGGCGCCGGCCCAGCGCCACGCCAGCCCCGGTGCCTCCATCCGACCCTCCGCTCCTGCCTGCAGCCCCCCGATGCGGGGTCCGGCGGAGCGGGGCAGAAGTGGGGAAAGGGGGGGCCCGGGGCGCATGTGGTATCTTAAGCACCACCACCGAATGAGAGCGAGAGATTAAAAAAGCCACCGACTTCACCGCCTCCTGAGCTGCTCCGGGTCGTGGGTCTACGGCGTCTCAGGCCCTGCGCGCTTCAAGCTCGAGCCTCATCGGAGGGGGAGGGGCCGCCGGGGGAGGGGGAGTGGCGCCGCCCACGGTGGGCGGCCGCGAGGGGCGGGGCCGCGGGCGCGCGCCCGGCGGGGGGGCGGAGAACCTGGGGCCCGAGGGGGGAAGGGCGGCGGCGACTGCGGCACTTACCGTTCGCGGCGTGGCGCCTGGTGGTCCTCCGAGGGGAGGGAGCGGGAAGGAGGGGCGAGGACGGTGAGCAGAGTCTTCTCGGCGGATGCTTTTCCGCTTCGCGGCGGCGGCGGCTGGCGCCAAAACCCGACTCCGCCCACCTCCTCGCCCCTGGGGTTGGGACCCTCCAAACGCGAGGGGAGGGAGGAATTGGGAGCTAAAACGAGTGCCCGTCTCGGGTCACTCGCAGGAAACACCTCTCTCGACCCCGAAGGGTCAGCCTCAAAGGCCAGGGTTAGGTCGGTTAAGCGTGGACAATAATTTGTTGACTAGAAGCCGCTTTGGGTGTTTCCGGAAGGGGCTGAGTTAGTCCTCTGCTGGGGAGGGAAAACGAAGGGGGAAGGCGACAAAGATTTTTATAGCGGGAGAACTAAGAGAACTGTTCAAGGCGTAGCTTCAGGGACCACCTCCCGGGTTGAGGGGGCTGGACCTCCGGGCTGCGGATTAAGCTCCTCCCGACAGCGTTATTTCAAACTGCGCGACCGTTTCTCACCTGCCCTGCGCTAAGGCGGGGGCTGGACCTAATTCAGAGAGGAAGTAACGCATAAGACTCGAGCCTTCCGCAATTCACTAATCCCATTTACGCAAGTGACGTCAAGCACTCTCACTGGCTACGAGTGGGGGAGGGGTACGTACTTGGCGTAAGGGAGGGTGCAGAGCGTTCCCGCCATTAGCGGCGGTTAGGGCGTTTACGCAACGGCCTGACGTAAGGAAGACGCGTTGGTCGGGGGGAAGGTTCTAGAAAAGCGGCGGCAGCGGCTCTAGCGGCAGTAGCAGCAGCGCCGGCTCCCGGGTGGAGGTGCTCCTAGCGGTGTTGTTTCTCGACCAGTGGCAGTTCTCACTACAGCGCCAGGACGAGTCCGGTTCGTGTTCGTCCGCGGAGATCTCTCTCATCTCGCTCGGCTGCGGGAAATCGGGCTGAAGCGACTGACTCCGCGATGGAGGTAACGGGTTTGAAATCAATGAGTTATTGGAAAGGGCATGGTGAGGCCGTTGGCGCCTCTGTGGAAGTCGGCCAGCTGCCTCCGTGGGAGAGCGGCAGGAAATCGGGCCGCCTCGGTAGCGGTTGGTCTGGAGATATTTGTAAGAGGGTCGATAGCGGAGGCCTGACTGTACAAACACCTTCCCCACCCTCAGCCTCCCGGCGCCATTTCCCTGTACTGGGGGTGGGGGAAGGGAACTTCCACATGGCGGACGCAGCCCCGCTTTAGTAAAAGTGGGGCGCGGAGGCGGGAATTCTTATTCCCTTTGTAAAGCACGCTGATTTGGGGGCCCCGGCGTCTCCGCGTTGAGCGTTTCGGCGGGCATCGGGTCCCCGTGAGCGAGTCTGCGGAGCTTCCCCTCCCCCCCTCTCCCGGGAACCGGATTTGGCGGCCGCCATTTTCATGTCTCTCCTTTCTCGCAGCGTTTTTCTTTTAACTCTCTGAATTCTGCTAGTTTAATTTCTTTACCAAAGCATAGACGTGGTTAACTATTTTTCTTTCTTCTCGGGCTGTTTTCATGCCGTTTCGAGGTGGATTTGGAGTGTTTGTGAGCTTGGATCTTTAGAGTCCTGCGCACCTCACTAAAGGCGCTCTGCCTTCCCCTCGATGAAATGGCGCCATTGCGCTCGGAAGCCACACCGAAGAGCGGGCGGGGGGGGGTCTCCAGGGCTTGCCGGCGCGGTTTAAGACAAGGTATTGCGGCCTAGGGCGTTGGGCCGCTGTTGACGCGAGCCAAATTGTAAAGGAACCATTTTATCTTCTCCGATTCTTTGGGTAACGGTTTTATCTGGGTCTGCAGTGATTAAAAGGGTAGTTGAATCGCAGGGAACTGGAAATAAAAAAACTTGGAGCCCTTAAATTAATAGCGACTGCGAGAGTGGCAGTGAGGAAGGGAGGCTATTTAGAGGGGAGGGATATTCTCAGAATCCTTTATTGCCGTGAAGGATTCCGTTTAAACTGTAGAAATTGATATCTTAACATTTTTATTGGGAAGTTTAATCTTTACTGGGTAAAACAAAACCATGGGTCTTTGCAGATAAAGTAGTTAGGAAGGTGAAAAAATGATTTTTATCGTTAGTTGTACTGTGGTTAAAACATGGCTCAGTCCTTTAATGCGTGTATATTTATGTACAAAATTGTTTTAGGCCTGGGCCACTATGTATTTGAAATTTGTCACTTGCTTTTCTCATTTATGTTTGCAATCATGGTTGGTCGTTACATTGATAAACATAAGGGCTCAAACGAAGGGGGTCTATCTGATTACTTTCTTTGACCCTAAGCACGTTTATAAAATAACTTTGTTTATAATCGATAGTGGACGTCGGGTAAGTTTGGAAAATGTGAGGTAAGTAATGAGTTTTTGCTTTTTGTTAGTGATTTGTAAGACTTGTAGATGTACTTTTATCTCTAATTTATTTGGGTTTAGAGAAACGTTATGTACAGATATTTAGAATAGATGAAATTAGCTGGAAAATTCAGATAGCTTGCTAAGTAACCATTTTAAAAGACTGTTACTTGAATATCATATAGGAGCTAGTTTGATAATTTCAGTTTTTCTTTTTAAATTTCCAGAATCCTGAAAACTCTGAACTATACAGGAAAAAAATCTGGCTGAATTGGTTCCTACCACTGTATATTTGAGCACTTGGGAGAATATGCATGGAGGGAGAACCTCCATAGAACTGGATTTAAAGCAGCAATACTGCTTGCTAGGAACAAAATTCTTGCATTAAAAATTACATTTGACGTTTTTAGTTTGCCTTGTGCATTATAGCAGTTGATTCTGGATGTCATGACCTATTCAGTGTTAACCGGATTTTTAATTTTTTAAGCTTAGTTACCTTACTAGGTAACTACCTAGTTAGTTTACCTAGTTGATTCATTCTTTTTTAACTTCCCAAAATAAAGCGCTGTTTAGTGCAGCATATTTGTTTACTGCTTTGTAGATGATAAAAAATTTCAGCACAGATTTTTTTCCTTTGTACAATTTGAGTCGCTTGTCTTGTGCAGTGTTTACGCCATATGGCCACTTAAGTTCAGTAAGAGTGAGCTTTCAATGTATTTAATGAATCGATTATCTTTAATTTACTCCAGGTGAATGTGTTGCACTGTATGTACAGTTAGCTGAATAGTAATTCAGATTTTTCTCTACTCCTAAATAATAATTATGAGTGCCCACCAAAAAATCAGTATCTTAAACTTTTTTTTTTAAGCTTTAGGTGCTGCTGGTCTTAAA